CATGAGTTTTAAGTCACTGGGTCCGGGATGCGAACCGCGGTCGACTACGTGGGAGTCCAGCGACATAGCCATTACACTAACTGCTGGTTCCCGGATCCAGCTGTCTTAACCACCACACCACTGGCTAGTCCACTTTCTTTTTCCTTTTAGCTCAAGTTTATTTATTTCTTCTGAGAGGGAGAGAAAGAACCCCCAAGAGGGGTCCTGACTATGGCCCACCCACCAGCGTTCGCCAACTCTAGATCATGGACATATGTGGGCCTGGTGTACTAGAGAATGTCTCTTGACTTGAACTGGGCGCCTTCCTGTCTGGGACTACATCCCAGAACCTCACCTTTTACCAATGTACCACCGTATGGCCCAGAAAGTCTTCTTCCTTCTGAAGCTTTCCTTCCCGACAATCACCTCCTCTGCTTCCTCTTTAGCAGCTAGGTAAATGATTCTGATTGTATTTTTTTCTGTGTCTGTTCTTAAACTGGGTTATCTTTGTTCTTCTCAAAATCTTTTACATGCTTGTCAAGTCTCACCTATTAGAGTAGGCATCCAGAGAACAGGGGCTTGCCTTCTTCCTCTTTTCTTTGTGATGTTGGTGGTATGTGAGGGACAAGCAGATGAAGAAGAGGATACAGGTGCTTGAGACAAGCCCGAACTCCTTCACCATCTACCTGTCTATTTGGATAAGCCACTAAACCTATCTCAGACTCCATGGCATTTTCTAGAAAAAGGAAATCATGTCTAACCAATTTCAAAGTCCATGTGATTTTTCACTCTGCTTTTCTGAGTCTGATAAATGGCATTCGTGAAGAGAGTTTTCTAGTTCATCCTAAGGCAAATGTAGTACAGCTCACATTTAAACCTGAAATGACTACAGGAGGAGTTCTGAAATTGTAACGCCCAACAGTGGAGGCGACCTGATCTGGATCATGAAGGGATTTACCTTCTGACAGTTTCAGCATTAAAGTGGTGGTTAGAATTAGCCCCTAAAGAATGGGATTTCATCGCTTCTCATAAGTGATCACAATTTGCCCCCTACCATGCCTTCTAGCAAAGTTCATTCATCTAAAGTTAACCTGTCACCACTTGTTGGCAGGCTCTGAGCTTTAACCTGGCCACAGAAAAATGTGACTTTGAATTATAGCTCTGACATGTGTAAGATTTAAAGGGAAATTCTTATTGGTTGCATTTGTGAATTTCAGCTTACACTCT